GCGATATTCTTGAAAACAATAGGTGATTATTTTACATGGAGTTTTGACGACAAACTGATTAGTGCTTATCTTTTCCAGCACGAGCTTGATGAGAGAGTTCGTCTTAATTGGTCACGATAATAGATCTTTTCCAAGTAAAAATCCGTCAAATAGCATTTTTGAAGTAGCAAATATATCAGCTTGATGATTTTTCTAATCAGAATAAAAACAGTTGAATACACCACACTTTGGCCAACGAGAAAAGAGTTAATCTCAATTAGTTGCAAAAGATTTTGGTCTTCAGGAGACCACGAGGTCGTTGAAGGAAGTTTCAATCTTTGCTTGGTTTCTGAAGCATTACATACACGAGATGTCAAAAAGTTTCTTGAAGAAATGGTAGCCGATAGGTGCGAGATCGTTCATATGGTTAACAAGGCAGGCCGCGGTGTTCAACTTTTGGAATCTGATAGTGGGGCATATGGCACTGTTGCTGAAAAGGATTGATGTCGTTCTGTTGACTTATGGAAGATACACCTACTAGAGTTTGTGGTTCATACTCTCAATTTGGCATGCTTTTACTTGTTGATTTTCCAATGTGACCGTTTTATACCGATTGTGGAGCTGTGATGGATCAAACCGGCTGTACGCCATCGAACGATTAACATGACCCTGATCTGGTGTGATTATAGCCTCGAGAATTGCTGACGTGCTTCACTGCGGTCCAACCAATAACCTGATCGCAACCAGTTGCTGTAAGAGATTCACTCATTATAGTTTACAATGTCGTCGAGAAACGAGACGTGCTGGTTGCGCACAAGAAACGCCGTCGACGACTGAAAATGATTACCTCTGCGATTGTTGCTCGCCTCGTGCGGCACCCATTTTGAGATTTTCCTTTCCGGTCTATTGTTTTCATTGTTCCAACAAAGGAAAAGCTGCCTTCACCTCGTTTTCTGTAAGTGGTCGAACAGTTGCACCTCTTATTTGAGTCTAGCAAAACCTTCACTTTATCGTCGTCAAGAGCAGAAAGAAGTCCGCGACGTTCCTCATCGTTAAGCCACGATTCTAACGTGACGAAATTATCTAAAGCAATGCTTCACAGTGCGTTCGAGAATATCTCTAATGTCCACACTTCACCAATGTTCGAGCTATTTGACTGCACCGCATTCAAGTTTACATCTTATTTTACACGACCCTTCATTACTTTTACTGTTCGGATCTTAGCATTTGTACTACTCACGTCTTTTCTCGCATGCGTTTCTGCACAGAAGTCTTAGAACATTTCACGTGTAGTTTCAATTAATGCTTGAGGATTTCGTCTTCTTACAGGATTTAGTGGATTGCTGATCGAGCAGATCTTGCAATCTCGATGGAACGTGAGCTAACGGCGTGAGGCGTCCGTTCATTGGTTGTAAATGAACGGCGAGGAGGGGTCGAACTAGTGCCTTGCTCCTGATGGCGTGCATAACAATCACTCGGCCTAAATTTGTCTTAAATGAGACAAATTAAATTAAATTGTCTTTTTTTTTATATAAATAAAATTTTACTAGTAGAGGTGTTAGTATGCTTGAAGTTAGTACACTAAGTTAGTTCCCAGCAGGCGAAACTTTCACAAATTGACCTCGAGCGTTGCGCGGTGGAAGAGTTCGTCGCTTCCTGGAGCTGAGAACTTACGGCTGCGGCGCGATCGTCTTCTTCTGCTCGAGCTCCTGCTCGTACTACGACGAGATAGTCGGCTACGCGATCTGCTTCTTTTGCTTCTTTGGTGTGAACGCCTCCTGCTACGTCGGGATGATCGCGATCGTCGGCTGCGTGATCGACGTGCATGTCGACTCAAGGAGCGCGAGTGAATGCGTCGACTTCGACTTCTTCTGCTACGGCCGCGGCTCCTACTGCGTCTGCTGGGCATGTTGGTTGAACCATACAAGATGATACTTGGAGAAATTCTTCTTTATTATACATCTAATCAAAAAAATGCCTGTCATTATGATAATTGTCAAAATTATTGGTATTTTTCTGTTATCTGCTCTCCGTGTCGACCCTTCAGAAAAAGCATATTTCGAGCTTGTTTTTGATGTTTAAGTAATCGTTCTCCTTTTCAAAATACAATGCTCAAATAGAGATACACATATGTAGCTGTTTTTTGTTGCACATTTAACATCTCAAAAGGCTATAAACTAATCATTTAGAATTCGCAATTGACCAAAATTCGAAAATTACTTCCGAAACATATCCGATTTCGAAGACAGAGATAAGAGATGTAACCACATCTGTTTTGACGGAAGGGGTATTTGATCGCACACACGTATAGCCAGTAAACTGAGCGCACTGAACAGCTTTGACGTAAAAAAAGACGTAAAAAAGACTTGTGTTAGGAGAAAATTTCGCTTGACATAGAGTGTAAAACGTTCGTCTTCGATAACTCTCTGTAAGGGAGCAGAGCTCCCGAGAGAACCGACTATAAAAATATCGAAAGACGACGGGTTCTGCCCGACTGACGAGTCTGTAAGGACGAACACGTGTATCGGGCTGTACAAGAGCCCTTACCAGACCACATGACAAGTTGGCTCAAATAATAATGAAAGGATTTATTGACATTTGAGCGTGGTCTTAATAAAGCACTCGAAAGAAAGGTAAAAAAGACTTATGATGTTCCCCTGATAGTGTTTGAGCCCTTTGATATCAATTGATATATACATGTTCTTTCACATATAAGGAAAATGCTATTCGCATGTCTAAACTTATGTCAGAGAAGCCGTTCTCACCTGAACAGCGCCTTGTACATTGGGCAGACTTTGCTCTTCGACATGGAGTGCTTAACGTACTACACGTCTAATTTCCCGCATGAATTCCATAGTCTATTTCATTCTCGACGTTCTTGGAGCTGTGACATTTATTTTTGTACTACTTTATACGCTTTTTACAGAACTTTCAATGCGATTTGTGCTAGTAGCTTGAATAGAAAATTGAAACGTTAATGAATAAACAAAATTCACGCACTAGTTGGCACATCGCATTTCATTTTCACTTCATCCTACTCAGATATATTTTATGGCCATTTTTTTCTTATGCGATTTTGCTTGCACCCAATCACAATCACAGGTGATTTTTAGATTGCACCAGAGATACGTATCATACGAGATAACTTTACTTAATCCATTGAATACTACGCTGACTTTTTTCTGTTACGTGTCATTGTCGACCGGCTGCGGGGTGTTTCGTAGATAGATAGATAGATAGATAGATAGGGGTGCGAAGTTCAAAGCTACAAAGGAGAGTCTGGAGGATCAGTAGCGCTCGTTCCGTCCACAAGAACCTCTATTAATCTTACGCGCCGCTTCACTAGCACTTTCACCTGAAGGCCATTTGTGCGTAAGTAGCAAGCGAATTTCTTCCCAAAACGGCTTTATCTTAAAGCAAATATAATCAAAGTTTATACCAAATGATTGCAAGAAAATGTGCAATTAACGATACTAAAACCATGCAATTTTACGAATTTACGCGCGGCAATGCGCGAAGTACGAAACTCCATTTCATTTTCGCTGCTACATCGCACTAAAAAGCATTCTTAGAAAACAATTGCAGTCAGAGAATTGCTTAGATTTTAACTATCGATTGGTTACTAAAAGTCTGAGGAAAGCGGAAAATACCCTGCCTCAAAAAGTTGGAAAATTCATTGCAATAACGGAAGTGTACCCGACATTTTTTCGTATATAAAGACCATAATTACCTCTAAGCTATCGAACAAGCATCAAAACTTTTTTGAAAATCATCCACGAATCCTAGCCGAAGGAAGAACATGCGCTCCGAAGGTAAGACGTAATCCTCCTTTGCCTGCAGCAACGCATTGCGAGTCTGCCCTCCAAGTAGACTATTGAGATAATCGAGATCCGGGGAATCGAATGACTGCTAAAAGTCTAAGGGAAAGGTGAAAAAGGCTTCGCTTTGTTCCTAAGATGGTTAACCATTGTTAGAATTGAATAAATGCCTTTTCTACCTATCCAAACAAGTCTGGCACGCATTTAGCGAGCCCGGAGGTATGGAAGAATTGGATGCACGCTAGATCGAAATATGTGCCCTAGTGTGTCACTGATTTGCTTACTTACATTTGAAGCGAAATCAACAAGTTGGCAATACAATGATGGAATTGAAAGAAAACTAAGAACTAAGACTCGATATTGACGAAGATGTGTAACCACATATCAAACCTGTTTGGTGTTCCCAAAAAATCAGTATCAGTACATTATTATCATCTGAAAAGGAGGAGCAATAAGATGTCAGCACGTATAACTACCAAATAATCGCTAAATCTCTAATCGAAATGATGCTCTCCTTTATCAAACCTTCGGCGTGCATCAAGACACCTCCTATTTTCAAAACTCGGTTTCGCTAGCAAAATACTTTCTATTTTGGTATATAGCTGCAAAGATTGGTGCACTGTTGATTATCGAATTCTGAATGCGCTTTCCATTCTGGAAAAAAGTGGCTTTCACGTAAATGTCGTCGTATTCGTTGAAAAAATGTGTCTATATTATCGGTCTAGAGCTTTTCTTCTTAGCTTTTAACCTAAGACGCTAAGACCCCTCACATTACCTTGATGATCCTCTTTCTATGGGTCGCTGAAATCCATCATGACATCGTAATTCATTGCTAATAGCTCCTACCTTCCTATCTATCAGGTTAATCAGGTTATTGCAGTTCATCGTGTTTATGCATAGGTTGTGGGATCACTTTAGACTGCATTCATTGCGGCAAGGTCACTTGGACACACACCTACGTGGCAGGATTAATGAATGCTCATACTTATCCTATCATTGTTACATCATTATATACCATCATCATCTCGTTATATGTCGTCATTATGTTGCTATAAGCAATACTGTCTTATTGATACTGTACCATTGTATATGAAATTGTTCGTGACTATCTCATCGACTGATCCCACATGGAAGACGGATTCAAACAATCAACATTCGAAGCACGACATACGCGTTCTTCACTCAAACAGCAACAATTATTCGTGGATTAGTCGGGAATCGAACCCGGGTCGCTCGCGTCATAGGCGAGAATGCTACTACTGAACCACCAAAGCACCGACAACTGTAGCGTTCGGCCAATGTAATAGTAATTGTGGCGAAGAGATTGAACGAGTGTGTCTCATACGTTTAGTGTCGAGTGTTTGATTTCGTCTGCCAGGCGGGGCTTCATGGTAATCTAGTCACAAACAACCTTTCATACAAAGTTACAATATTAGAATCACGTTGATAACTGCATAACCAAAAGACACAATGAGATGATAATGATACGATATTGAAGAATGAGTGGTGAATAAGCGATGGCCTCGGTGGTGGGGTGGTAGCCCGAGTCCCTGGTATGGATGAAACACGGGTTCAGCCTCCCGGCTGCGGTCGAATTTCTGCTCAGTACTCAATTTCCTCAGGTATACTGGATACGAGAGCGCATGTGGCGCAGTGGTTAGAGGTGCCCTGCGTCGCACACGAGGTCATTGGTTCGATCTCGCGCTCCTGGCTCACCAAGCCATCCATCCCTCCGGGGTCGGTAAATTGGTACCAGGCAGGTCTCAGGCTTGTCTGGGAGGATAAGCAGCACTGACTCGGTTCAGCGGGAGGCCACCGCGAGTCATTGTAAAGGCCAGATGTGCATTCAATCACCTCAAACGAAGTTAAAAATTGAAGTCGAATGCATGGCGCATCCCTCGGGGATTGATCAACGCCGAGAGCTTTATCCTTTATCCTTTTATACTGGATACGATAAGTATGATGCTGGTGAAGAAGAAATTGCGGTTTATGCACTGTTTAAACACGTTCTTTGATATTGGAAAATATTTCCAATAAATGTGGTCATGTCATATATCAGTTCAATGCGCATTTCTCGCTTTATGTTTTGTTGCTAACAACATTTCACTTACTGTTTATTCTACGATTATTTTAGAATATGAAAAGATGTTAGTCAGTGTAAAAATAGTTGCAGTTCCACACCGTGAGTTCCAAATGAGTAGTAAAGAAGCGAAAACAACTCGCAGCATCAATAACGCATTTGGCACAAAGCTGACATCGAACGTTAATCACGACGCCTAACTGTGAGCTAGTATTGGAGTTGATGCATTTTAAACTACACGAGATGTTGCGAAATAAGTGCACCTTGATCATTCTACGATCGTCAGCCATTCGTCAAAAGTCAAAGTAACTGTGGTTGCAGTCCGCCAGAAAACTGCAATTAGTTCTGCACCAACCCAATTTGAGGCTAAGTACATGATAATCTTGTCACGCGGTGTCTAAATGACTTTGATGCGACGGATAAAGCCTAAAGTGATTCACAACGTGCGTAAATCCGAGGACCACATTAACACGATGAATAGGAAAAGAGGAATATAAGCAACAGATTACATTGACACGATGAATTACAACGACCACAAGGTAAGGGTAAACTATTGGTAAGTCGGTTAACGTGAGGAGTGTTCAGGAGTTCTCTTGGTGGAAAAGGGAGCGGCGGAGCCTTTGGAGGGTTTGTCGGGAGCTAGGCGGAGCGAAATTTTGAGGTTACTGTGAACTAAATTTGAAGCTGAAAAGTTAAGCTCACTTTTAGAACGAGAATGCACAACATACACTCAGGTGAATATGGCGACATTCACGTGAAAACCACTCTTACCACTTGAACCGCTGGGAAACGCCCAAAAAATCCCAAAAAAGCAGTTCAAATACATGGCGAATCCGCCAGGGATCAACCAACATCAAACGCTTTATTCTGTTTAGTTTCATAAGAATAAGGTATCAACCAATGAGGACGGAACCGTAAAAGCTACTTTGTGCCCGGGATCATTGACAATCTTCCGAGAAATACTAACGAATAAACTTGATACCTGGAAGATTTGAAGGAAAAAAGAAGGATGTGTTAAGTAACTTAACGCTTCCAAAGACTGCCATTTGAAAACTAAATTAGTGTAGCTACTGTAGGGCATAATGCTTCTTCGATACGTTTTGAGCATTATTTTGTCAAAGCGTGAGCTAAGATTACAGCACCGAATGGCAAAACCAGCAACGAAACACTTAGGATAAATTAAAGTCACTGAAGATGAACATTTCCAGCGATCAATTTTTATGTCTATAATAAGAAACCAACCTCCACCTCCCAACTCTCTCCGGCAGTCAACAACAACGCAAGAAGACGAAAAACGAATTAAATGCTAGAAGCACTGAGATCTGCGGAGTGAAAAAGCTAACACCGTGATGATGGATCAAACAAAATGCTGAAAAAAGCTGATACTTAGAAACCACATGGCTTTAAATAGAAAGCCAAGAATGAAGGTTTTTAATTAAATCGACTGTTTCTAAAACCTCGTAGAAACATTCAAAATAATTCCAAAAAAAAAATGGAATTTTTTGGAATTATTTTTAATGCTTTTACGAGGTTTTAGAAACAGTCGATTTAATGGAACAGTTTTTGGTCTACCAGCCAAAACCATCGACTGATGGTGATGGACCAGTGTCATTGTACACTATGCCATCACCACATACCACATACGCCTCCCTCCTTGCTACAATGCAGGGCTTAATGTGGGGCGGGGGTCACTGACGAGGAAGACGAACCTCCGAAACACCGGTGTATGGCCCTGGCTACCAACCTCGTTCAGGCTAAAAGCATTCTTTTTTTTTTGGAATGAAGGTTTTTTGCGTCCAGTCAAGCAAAAATGATTGCCTCATAAGCAGAAAGCTTTGAAGTTGCTAAATGCTTGTCTAGATCGGCTGTTCTTAAGCCCTCAAGCAGTACAAGCAGCATTTCAGCAGTAATGGGTTGCAGGAAAAGGTCTGTCATGTTGCCTCAGGAAATGATATTCGCACATGTATTCTGTTCAAATTGAAGCTCTTCAGAAAGCTTGTTTTCTTGTGGATCAAACGATATATTTTGTCAACCAAGCCTTCTAAATGGAATTGTCCAAGAAAGAAATTCGGCTGTTAGTCCAATTCCTCTACAAAATGGACGTCAACGCGAATCGAAGGATCGTGGGTTTCACCGCCGCGGAATCTTTATGCTGCCGGATACGTGGCTAAACTGTCTTGATGTGGAAAAAGATACTTCGGCCATAACTTTGTTTTTTCTTCGAGCTTTATTGGAGCAGAAATAAATTTTTTTGTATGCATTTTGAAAACACGACAGGACTTTTTCTATAACCTATTATCATCACCAATTTTCTTAGGAGGCTTGGAGATAACTCCTGGCCCTATATCAACTCCAAACGGTGTTGTTCGACGAACAATGAGGCTAGTCGTTTAGCAAAATGAAAGCTCAGTCAACATAATCGAAATCAAATTGCACCTGCAATTGAACAAATAAATCCGAAAATTCAATGTACATAGATAATTAAACACCAAATGTGCCCCTGCACAAGCCAAAATGTTCAAAAGCACAGTGTGCGTTCGACACATTTACGATAATCGATGTACAAATTCTAAAATTCTGATAGAATTCGTATCACACGAGTTTTCTATAAGTCTAGGTGAGAAAGCATCATCCAGTCCTCCATAAAGAGTCTACAAGAAAAGAAACTAAGATCCTCTCGAATCCCTGGAACTGATGAAACTCATTGAGCGATTGATCGTCGTACGGACCGAACAACAAACAAAGTCTGTTAGCCTCAGTGAAAACATAACGAACAACTGGACGAAATGCTACGAACAGCACAACAAAGAGGTCCGTGATGTGCAAACGAAAATAATCTCGTTGCAAATCAAAAAACTATCTTTCTATAAACCTCGACATATATATATATATATATATATATATATATATATATATATATATATATATATATATAAACGTAATTATAGGAGTTGTCATTCTTAACATAGAGCGAAGTTGGTATCAGTTGTTTATGTAGTTTTTGTGGTAGTTTGATGGGTGACGTTTCAGCCACTTCGTTTTCTTCAGAGCCTTGAGTATTTATGTTGCTCTTCTCTATTTTCCAAACAACAACAGCAACTTAATGACGAAGTTCACTCAACATTCCATTTACTTTCGAACGATGTTCTTCATGTACTTGATTGCTACAAGCAGAAAAGATATAGCTCGAACTCAGGTTATGGACAGAAATGTGGTTTGCGCCAAATATGGGTGCTGATGAACTCAAAAGCATCCAGTTATTTGTTAGGACAAAGGTGGAGAATTGTAGCCATTTCTCGTCATTTGTATGTTGAAATAACAGAAAAACATCAGAATATTTCCTTCTATGGACGATTCCTCTGGAAGAGATTATGTAGACCAATAGCGAAAACCAACGAGTTAAAACGGCAAAGGCGACTGGTTTAGAACGTTCATTTATCTGCCGACTAAAAACGATTTACCACTGGTCCCATTCATATTAGCAAAACACAAACACCTCTAGTGATGACCTTGTAACGACCAATTCCTCAGTGTTCAAAAATAGACCACTTTTAAGCCGTGTAATCGAGTCGACGAATAGGATAGCATTGTGATCAAGTTTGATCATCTCGTAAATGTCAAAGTTTATAATAGTCCCATTTCTTTGACACCAAAACTTCCCCAGAGAACCTGCATCGGGCGCAGTCAAACCGCACGTATGTAATGAAGTCATTCGCTATCGCTGCGCTCTACACAATCGCCTCTAATGATGCAGCGATACAAGCTACTCAAGAGCTGAAGATGATCGAAAATAAAAGAGAAATATACATTCATGGCTTCCTCTTCAACACATCGCGTCTCAGGTGTTCAATCCTTAGGTGATCTAGAAAATATTTTACGCAACTCTAAACGTTGGCAATGGGGACGGTCCTTAGCACTAAGCCTTGCCATTGCCTTCATGTCTAAGGTGGAAGCCGTAGTTTTTAATCGTCGTCCATTACTTTGTTGTCGATAGCATATGATCGCCTTATTTGCTCCAAACAAGAAGATATGAAATATTTTGAACAACTGAATGAACAGCCACAGAATGTTGAGTTAACTGTCAAAAAAATCAGCTTCAATATATTCGAGTGTTTGTGATACTCGTGGCGCCACTCGTGGAGAGAAGCTCCAATCCCAACATCTCCGGCAGTCAACAAGAACGTCTCAGCCAAA